GTGGGCCCTCACCCCTTCAACTCTGAAACCCCCCTAGTTCATTGGGCTAGCTCCGCCCCTGATAGCTAGTGAGGGCGTGATATTGCAAGAGCTACACCACTCCAGCATTTAGAAACCTTGAAGGTCTCATCGTTTGCGCGAAAAATCTTCAAACCCATGTCAATATCAGAAAAGACGGATAGATTTTCAAATTCCAAGTAGAAAGCAGCAGCAATGCAAATGTTTTGCAACCGACTTTTTCAAGTAACCCAATAATAGTTTTCAAAAAAGATGGGAAATGTGGGAGAGAAATATATTTTTTAATTTTAGATTTTTAATTAATTAATTTGGTACTCGTTTGCATTCTTTTTACAAATTTGGCATTAAGATTGTAATTAATTCTTTATTTTCTCTTCTCTTCTTTTTGTTTTATTTATAGAGGATGGTATATTTGTCATTACGAAATGGAAGAAAATGTTGTATTCCTCAAAACTTTGAGCCATCTAGGGAGTATACCGTCAAAATGAAATGATAGAAAGGTATTCCGCAATAGAGGCAGAGATCATGAGGGTTTTGTGCCAATTACCCGAACCAAATTATACAGCAAACCATCCATTCAATTACATAAAATCAGTAATTTTCCAAAAACACAGAACATAACTTAGAATAGAAAATTCAAGGCATCAATAAGCTTTGCAGGAGGAATGGACAATTTTCCAACGCCTTTTTTTTCCTCGTTTTTCATGTGGAAACTGGTACTCAGCATGTGTGGCGCTATATATACCTGTCACTAGAAAGGACCTAAATACGTATTTTGGATACTCAAATTTCTTCAGTTATAACTAACGTCGTAAGGGGATGTATAGAAGAAGCTGACATCACTTGAAATCTCCACCCATGAGAAAATTCATAGTCGGACCTGAGGGGAGGCCCTTGACATCACTTGAAAGGGAAAAATTCATGGGTCAGGTATTTACTTTCACGAAATCACAAATCAGGCCTGAACGTTTAGATTTTCAAAAATCAGGTTTTTCCCCGATTTAATTAATTATATTTAAC